CTATGAACTTGATTTCCCTCGCTGAACTTGATTCTTATCACAAGTGCCCATTCATTGGGGGTGGGAGAAACAGTGGTAAATTAATCTCAGAGAATTTGTGGTTCCCCTCCTGTGGGGTGTATCTAAATTCCGGGGGGCTTACCTAGAGTGACAGCAAACACTCTCTGCTCTAGATTTCCTATGCCGTTTGGGCAGTCTGTCGTCCCACCCACCAGTTTGGCTTGGGGTAGGGGGAATGGACACTCTCTCTTTGGTGTCCACAAACAGCTGTGCTCGGCCTTTCTCACCCTCCCTGTCGCTCTACTTGGCCCAAGTCTGGAAATATTAATCTGACCTCCAGCGCATGAACAAGACTTACTCAGACTCTTATATTCTTCCAAATCTATGGATTACGCCTGAGTTCCTTCTGCTCTCCCTGAGGGCTAGGCTTTGGAGACACTAAAGACAGAAATTAACTCCTTTTTTTCTCTGCTTTCTGCCTCTCTGGAGGCAGTGAATGATGAATACCCTAGCTGACTGAATGGAGAAAGAACCAAGGAAAAATGGAGAAATATCCCTCAGTAGACATTTCAAAATAGTATCCCTTCACACTCTGTACCTGGGTGATATCTTTTTCAGAAAGGTAAGGTCAGGGGTGTCTGGCTGGCTCAGTCGGTGGAGCATGTGACTCTTGATCTCAGGGTTTTAAGTTCAAGCCCCATGTTGGGGGAAGAAATCTCAAAAATAAGATCTTAAAAATAAATAAATAAAAATAAGTAACCAAAATATTGAAAGTAAAATATGATTTAAAAAAAGAAGGTAAAATCATGACACATAGTAATATAAAATGAAGACACGTTAAAAGTTTTATTTAACTCGGGGCGTCTGGGTGGCTCAGTGGTTAAGCGTCTGCCTTCGGCTCAGGTCATGATCCCAGCGGTCCTGGGATCGAGCCCCGCATCGGACTCCCTACTCGGTGGGAGGCCTGCTTCTCCCTCTCCCACTCCCCGTGCTTGTGTTCCCTCTCTCGCTGTGTCTCTCTCTGTCAAATAAATTAGTGAAGTCTTCAAAAAAAGTTTTAGGGGCACCTGGGTGGCTCAGTTGGTTAAGCGACTCCCTTCAGCTCAGGTCATGATCCTGGAGTCCCGGGATCGAGCCCCACATGGGGCTCCTCTCCCTCTGACCCTCCCCCCTCTCGTGTTCTCTCATTCTCTCTCTTTCTCAAATAAATAAATAAAATCTTTTAAAAAAATAAAAATAAAAATAAAGTTTTATTTAACTCATTTATTACCGAGAGAACCAGTAAGATATAAAAATTATTAACAAGGAGAATCCAAATAACAAATGCGTATATGAACACTCAGGATGCCGAGATGAATTTGCTAATCATAGAGGCAAGACTGGTCTCTTTCACTGGATGAAATTAATTGCATCTTTACTGGAGAAAATGTATTTATAAGTCTCTAAACAGGAATCATTTACAATTACCGTCAGTTCTCCACATTACCTTTTATTCTACAGAGTTACAAAATGATTAAAGATAACGAAAGGTACAGACACAGTAGAATCGGGTAAGCCCAGAAAGGTCCAAGCCTGGCTTTCCACAGAAAGAGTACTGTGTTAATTCCTAGGGTTGAGTACCACAACACTAAATGGGTATTATAAAACAATGGAAAAAAAAAAAAACAATGGAAATGGATATTCTCCCAGTTTTGGAAGCTAAAGGTCCAGATCAAGGTGTCTGCAGGGCTATGCTCTCTCTAAAGTTGCCAGCAAAGAATCCTTCCTTGCCTCTTCCAGCTTCTTGTGGTTCCTGGCAAGCCTTGGTGGTCATTGGCTTGTAGACATCACTCAGCCTCCATTGTCGCATGGCATTCTCCCTGTGTCTCTGGGTCTAAATTTCTCCCTTCTTATGAGGACACCAGTCATATTGGATTAAAGCCCACCCTAATGGCCTCATCTTAATTTGACCAAATCTGCAAAGTTCCTATTTCTCACCGTTCTGGAGACGGGAAATCCAAGATCAGTGTGCAAGTATGGTCATGGTCTGGTGAGGGCCTGCTTCCAGCTCTTCTAGGCCTCTTTTATAAGGTATTAATCTCATTCATGAAGGCTCTGGCCTTATGGCCTAATCACCTCCCAAAGACCACACATCCTAACACCATCACATTGGGCATGAGGATTTCAAAATATGATTTTGGGATGAACATTCAGCTGATAGCAGAGCCCAGTCTTAGGAGGGCCCTCACCCTTTCATGGGTTTTATCTCCAGGAACCCCACCAGGTGCTCATGGTAAAGACTAGAGAAGATCCCCTTTATGGTCCTGGCATGGTAACCACTTTGAAATAAGTCCAGAGGGTTCTCCATAATAAGGACCCTCAAGGGGGAACCTTATCAGAGCCTTCTCTTAGAGCCTTCTCTTCAGAGCCTGAAGGAAGAACAATTAGCCAGACCTGACCCTGTCTAGCCTCCGTGTCTGATGTAAGAGAAGGGAGAAAAAAGGCTGAGAAATGCTTTTAAAGGTCATAGCCCAGGGACACGGGGCTGCTAAAAAAATGAGATTTAATCATAAGATTATGGAACACTTCCCTTTCCAACACCTTTCCACTGTATCAACACTCCAGGATAAGTGGATCATAACTGGAAAAGCTGCAAATCACAAAGTCTGTTTAGGAAGAAGTTCTTAGGGAAACCCAAAGATAACAGAGGAAATAAAAACAAGGAAATTATAGGAAACAAGGCTATGGTACTCACAGCCATAGCAGTTATTAAATATAGCCCAGCTCCTGCCCAGATTAACACAAAGCCTTATACTAAAAACCTACTTACCTCAGTTTCTCTTACCCAATTCATCATGTCTGGCTTTTAGCAAAAATTTACAAGGCTTGTTAAAAAAGCATGAAAGAGGGGTGCCTGGCTGGCTCAATTGGAGCATGTGACTCTTGGTCTCGGGGTTGTGAGTTCGAGCCCCACATTGGGTGTAGAGATTACTTAAATAAATAAAACTTTTTTTAAAAAGCATGAAAGAATATCATCTGAGGAAACAAAGCAAGTATCAGAACTACACTCAGCTATGACATAGATGTGGAATGATAAGATAGGGAATTTAAAATAACAGTGATTGTTATGTTAGGACTCTAATGGAAAAAGTAGACAACATGCAAGAACAGATGGGTACTGTAAGCAGAGAGATGGAAACTCTAAGAATCAAAAAGAAGTACTAGGAAGAAAAAGTGTAACAGAAGTGAAGAATATCTCTGATGGGCTCATCAGCAGACCTAACACAGCTGAGGAAAAAATCAGTATGCTTGAAAATATGCCAATAGCAATTTCTCAAACTAAATGCAAAGAGAAAAAAAAAGAAAAAACAAAACAGAATATGCAAGCATGTGGGACAATTCAAGTGCTCTGAGACTCTGTAACTTTGAACAGCAGGGCACATGGCTATCTGGGTCCCTCATAGCACACCCACGTGGGGCTTTTCATTGGGAAGGTAAGGAGACAAATTCATCAAAGTCTACAGAATCACCAAGCTGGATGGGATGGCCACCACTCTGAAAATTACACTATGAATCCCCAAAACCCACTATAGATTTGAGAAAAGGGCAAATGTAAATAGAATAATGTTCAATAACAAGCAGTGTGGACTAAATGAACAAATATGGATCCTGGAGTCAGACCTGGGTTTTGATGTGGCTCTGCCCCTTGGAGTTGATTGACCTTGGGCAAGTTACTTACCTTTGAGATCCTGTTTCCCTCTTTCATAAAGCGGGTATCATGATACCTTTCTCACAGGTCTGCTACAGGGATTAAACGAATCATGTACATAAAGTATGCAGGAAATGCTTAATAAATACTTGCTTTAATTCTTATTGAGATAAGTTCGGACTAATGCAACTAAAGGAAAAAATTAGCTGAACAGTAGGGCTGGCTTCATAAAATAACATCAGAAAAAATCAGGTAAAGGCAGTGATGGGTCTTTTTTAGTGTTGTATTTCTTTGGACTCATTTTATAAATGAAAATCCAACTTGGTAGCAGGGTGAGGGGATTCTTTTTTTTTTTTTTTAAAGATTTTATTTATTTGACAGAGACACAGCAAGAGAGGGAACACAAGCAGGGGGAGTGGGAGAGGGAGAAGCAGGCCTCCCGCAGAGCAGGGAACCCGATGCGGGGCTAGATCCCAGGACCCTGGGACCATGACCTGAGCTGAAGTCAGGCGCCCCAGGGTGAGGGGATTCTTTCCAATATTCTCAGCTCTTAGACACTCATCAGGTGTTTAATAAAGCATTGTGCTATGGAGTGTGACAGGTGGGGAACAAAAAGATGATTAAAGATCTGGTTCTTAGAGTAACTGTTTTGTTCTCTGAAGGTGGTTCTATATATTTAAGTTGTTCCTTGTTTTCACTATTATTCTTGCTAATGCCCAGATGAAGTTGATTTGTTAAGGGAGAATATGGCTTAAAACAAAACCTTCTTATCCTTATCTGTGTAATGTTGGCATTGTGAGACCATGCAGTTCATAGGTTCCTTTGGGCTTGAAGACTCTCTGTATGCTGGTGTGAAATAAATGTAAATTTCACATTGTAGATTTCTGCTATGGGGCTAGGGTAGCTGGAGTCACCCAGGGATTCTTGCTTTATGTTGGCTTGTGGCTATTCTCGTTCCAAGGCAAGATACACTTTTATTTTAAAATTAAACTTTGAAATTTAAAAATAAAAGCAGAAAAAAATGTTTCCTAGGCCAAAAGGAATGATTTAAATTTTTGGAGAGCTCATCAGCATTTCAAGAGTAGTGATAAGCCACTGGAATTTACTTTGATGTTTTCCTCTCAAGCACAGCCACCCCAGCCTCCTGGGGTCCTCTCCCTTGTGTCTAACTGTTGGGCTGGGTGGCCACAGCTCTGGAATCTGACACTCTCTTAGTCTTATTCTCCACTGCCCTTGTTTGTGTTTCTGTTTAGCCCTATGCCTTTTTTTTTATTATTATTATTTTAAAGATTTTATTTTTAAGTGACTTCTATGCCCAACATGGGGCTCAAACCCACAACCCTGAGATCAAAAGTCGCACGCTCTACCAACTAAGCCATCCGGGCACCCCTAGCTTTATGCCTTTAGATCTTCTACAGGCCTCCTCTCTTGTCTTTCTCTCAATATCCATTTGTCCATCTCCCTGACTCCTTTTTGGTTCCTGCCCCGTGGCACTGACCTGAATATAGAAGTTTGACTTCTGGTTCACTATTGTTTTAAAGGCTAGGTAGACTTCACAATATGTTCTCCACGCTAGGGTTGTCATTGACTTATGGGGAGGGCAAAAACAGAAGGCCGAGGAAGAAATCTAATACAAACCACCTCAGGAATGTTGGAGAACATCCTTTCTCTGAGGACACCTTGAGGAGTAACTGGCTGAAACTGCAGAGGAAGGAACATGACTCCTTGAGAGTCATTCATGGGCATCACAGCCCCTGCACTGGAAAGTCAGCCTTCTGGAAGACTTGTAGGGTAGGCCATGCTGGGGCAGGAAGAGCTCTGCTCTGCATCAGGTAGATGTGGTTTGGAGCCCTGGTAATGCCACTGTAGCAGGGTGACTTTCTGGACTTTCTTCTTGACCTCTCTAAGTCTGGACCTCCTCATCTATAAGAAATGAGCAAGGCTATCTGCCATGTGGCGTTGTAAGGATCCAATGTGTTCCCGAAACACCCTACTAGTCCTACGCCCCTTCTCCCCTTATGATACCCCTTCACTTGCCCAATATTCAGAAGCTTGTTGGTAAGGCGATTTGGAACCCCAAACACATTTACTGATAAAAGCCAGCAGCCCTCAGCTTTAAGAAGTCTGGCCCCAACACCAGCCTATCTACTATCCTTTTTCTCTTCCCACACCCCCATTCATGGACTTGACTTTCAAGTCATGATGGGTTCCTTTGCTGCCTGCCAAACACTTCCCAGCTTCCCTACCCACAGACTTTTACTCCTTCATCCTAGAATCCAGCAGGGGCGCCTGGGTGGCTCAGTCAGTTGAGGGTCTGCCTTCAGCTCAGGTCACGGTCCCAGGGTCCTGGGATTGAGCCCTGCATTGGGCTCCCTGCTCCGCGGGAGGCCGGCTTCTCCCTCTCCCACTCCCGCTACTTGTGTGCCCTTTTCACTGTCTCTCTCTGTCAAATAAATAAATAAATAAAAATCTTAAAAAAAAAGGAATCATGCAGCAAATCAATATCCAGGTGAAATCCAAATCAAGCCCCTCTGTTCCATTGTAATCTGTTTTAGAACTGACTTCTCTCTCATCTGAATTCCTTTTCTACTTCATCTAAGCTGGTCATATGAACTTTATAAAAATCACAACAAACTTTTTTGTAGCTGTTATAATGAGAACATCTTTTTTTTTTTTTTTTTTTTTTTAGAGAGCGCGCGCACACGTGACCGGGGGTTGGGGTGGAGGGCAGCAGAGGGAGAGAGAATCTTAGGCAGGTTCCATGCCCAGTGTAGAGCCAGAGGTTGGGCTCCATCTCACAACCCTGAGATCATGACCTGAGCCGAAATCAAGATTTGGACACTTAACCAACTAAGCCACCTAGGTGTCCCAGCAATGTCATATTCTTATATCTCCTCACACTGTTCCATAACCATTTGTTGTTGAATAAATGAACCATCACAGCTCCATTTGTTGGTGTGTGCTATATGCCAGGCAGTGTGCTATGCCCTTTATAGGTATTTCCTTATGTAATCATCAAGGCAAAGTTTTTTAAAAATGTACTATGATCTTCACGTTCTGTAGGGAGCTAAGGCTCAGATGGCATAAGTAACTTTCCCAACATCAATTATCCAGAAAGTAGAGCAATGATTCCAACGTAGGGATGTATGACTCCATGCCCTATGCCCTTTCTATTTCCCAGGAGAGATAACCTAGATTGAACGTAAATGAATAAAGCTAAAATCACGTACTGGGGACATTTGCAGTCTCAGGTTTGGGTACGATTTTCATCAATGTCCCAGGCAGACAGATGACCTCAAAGCTGCTCTTTTACCAGGCGAGGCAGGCCCAGGAAAGCAGAGTCCAAATTTGAGGTCCACTAAATGCTGCAGAAAACGTTTCCTCCACTAGAGGACTCCCTTCCCCTTAGGCAAAAAGTGCAGCTTCCAAGGAAGGTGGTAGCCAGGGATCCAGGTATTGCCAGCCTGTAGGGGGCTTCACTCCACCTCCCTGAGGCTCAATCCATTTTGCCTAAATCCCTGGGTCCCTGCAGAGCCCGGCCAGCCTGTGAACCCCTAGGGCAATGCCGCAAGCTGGAGCAGTGGGAGGGACAAGCCCCTTCCCCACCCCCCAAGTTTTCACAGCCACATCCTGCGCTCCCTGGATCAGGGATACTTTGGTACAGGCCCCAGGCTCATTTTGGGGGCTCCTTGCATAAGCTCAGGATGTGTGGGGCAGGGGGCAGAATAGTAAACCCTCCTCCCTGGAGAAGCAGAGACTGCACGTTGGTAATCCAGTAGTGCATTCCCCAAATGCCGGCCTGACCCGCTTCAGACCCTGAGTCCACTGCAAAGGATGGCCGTGAAAGTGGTCCATGGACACCTCACTTTGGCAGGCTCTGCGGGCCTGCCGCCCCAGTAGGTTTTGCTGAGAAGAGGAGGGGGGCACCCTGGGGAGTAGTGAAGCACCATTTTGGTTGAAAATAACTTGTAGAGAGGTGTGAACTACCTCTCTGGCCCTCTCCCGAGGCGGCTGGGAACTCCCTCACCTTCACCCCTTCTCTCAACCTGGGAAGAGAGGGGTTTCTTCAGTAACCCATTAGAGTTTCCTGGAGGGACCCTTGGGATGGGGTTGGAGCTGAGGATCCAATGGTGCATTTTAATCAGTAGGAACGCCTTTGAAGTGACATTTAGTGAAAAGAGGCAAATTACTAAACCATATCTGAGCTATTATTACCTCTACATAAAATAAAAGATTAAAGACTTGAGAGGGGTTTAGGTAGGTGGTACAAAGGCCGGATGATCCTCCCTCTCTTTTTTTAGATTTGTTGATTTAGTTAAATTACATGTTTAAAACGTGAAGACAAAAAGGTGAGTGTAAGTTGAGTTATAAAACATTTCCAGAGACTTCGCCAGGTCCTGAAAGGTGGTGTCAGAAATAGGACAGGCAGCTGGATCTGAGAGCTCGGGATGGAGAAGCTCTAGCTCAGAGCAGCCCAGAGAAGGAACTCCGAGTTCGAGCCCCCAAGAGGGGACAGATGCGAACTTAGTTGGCCCTGAGTGGCCGTCCACTATGTACTGTACGTCAGAACATTTTGCTACAACGACCACCCCGCCCTCTCCATCCTGCGGTCCCGCTGAGCGCCCACTTCAAAGGCGTCGTACTGGATCTCGGAGGGAACCAGGCGGCAAAGGGCAGGCCCGGCAGCCGCCGGGTGAGGCGGCCGGGGCATTGTTTCAGCCCCTCGGGTGGGGTCCTGCAGGGGGAGGGGAGGTGGTGTGTCCTCGGGACCCGCCCCGTAGCCCTCCCAGGGGACTCGTGCATCAGCGCGTCCCAGCGCTGGGGCTTTGTGAAGTGTCGTCAGTCACCATGGAAACCCAAAGGAACGCGGAGAGGGGCGCTAGGGGGTCGGCGAGTTCTCGGGCCTCACTCTCCTTTCCCTCTCGGACCCCGGCCCTGCAGCAGGGCCTGTCGGGAGTTGTAGTCCCAAGGCGGCGGCCGCGCGCGGCGGCGAAGATGCGGGGCACCGCCTGTCCCCGCCTCCCCCTAACCTGCTAGCGCGAGGTGGGGAGCATTGGGGAGGAGGCGTCGGGTCGGTGATTGGCCGAGGCCGCCTCCAGCCCCCACCCACGTCCCCTCCCCAGCTCCGGGCTTCCGACTCCAGCGCCCCGCGCGCCAAGGCGGCGATCGAGCGAGCGCGCGTGCAGCCGCCGCCGCCCCGAGCACCCGCAGCTCCCGCGCCGCGGCGAGACCGAGGAGAGACGGACCGACCGACGGACCCTCGCAGCCGCAGCATCCCGGAGGAGTGCGTGATGGCGGGGCGGGCGGTGGGCTTATTCTCTCCGGGCTGGGACATCCTTCTCACGGCCTCTGTTTCTCTGGGAGGCGCACAAAAGGGCTGGGATAGGGGTGCGCCCAGGGGCCCGGCCGCAGGGGACGCAGCGGGAGGTGTGGTTTGGGATTGGGGCGGCCATCGGGGCTAAACTGGGGCCCGAATCGGGTGCTCTTTGTACGCCCACAGAGCGCCGTGCAGGGCCTTGCTCATAGTAGGCGTTTCATGTGTGCTCGTGGGATTGCAAAGAACTGGGGTGAGGAGACGGCTTGGTCGAAGGGGGTTCACTCTTGGCACACAGTAGGCGCCCAGCCTTGCTCGTCGAGGGGCAGTGAATGGCTGGAAGGCTGGGCGGGGGCTTCTCTGGCTACCGGCCCGTTCTGCCCGAGTCCCTAGGTCGTCGCTGCCTCTGGCCCCCCACTACCACCCGTACACACACCCTGTGTCCATCTCGCCTCCGGGCTGGGGTTTACCCAGCCTGGACCGGACCCGACGGCCCGTTCCACCCGTCTGGCTAACGCAGCGGTCGCCTAAGGACGACTCGCCTGCCGCCTCCGAGGCACCTGCCTGAACCACAAAGGCCGCCTGTGGCTGCCCGGCCCAGAGCGAACGCTGAGCTGGGTCCCTTCGCTGGAGCCCAGTGCGGGAGCTCTTCCCGCAGCATCGATCTTGGCGGGCGACAGACACCGACGCCCCAGGCTTGGGGAGGGGCAAGAGCCCGAGCCAGAGAGAAGCTGGGATGGGGAGAGGTGGACGCGAGGCCTCCGTCTGAGCAAAGATGGGGAGATGGGGAAGCTGGGTGGGGACCGGTGGACTGGGGGTCTGGGTGGAGGGGAAAGTGGAGACCAGGGTTGGGGAGGAAAGAGAGGGGGCAGGGGGTGGGCCTGAAGAGGGAGAGGAGTGAGGTGCAGGTGGCGCGAGGCGGGGCGAGTCTGGGGCTGATGAAGAATGAGGATGGGAGGAGAGATGCTGGAGGGTGGAGACCGCCGGGGTTTGAGGAGGGTAGATGCCTGGGAGGAGGAGACCCGCGCGGGCCGGGGGAGGGACTCTCTGGGGAGGGAGGGCTCCCAGGGGAGGATGGTCTCCGGTGCAGGGAGGGGCAGGCGTCTGGGAGACAGGTCTCGGGCCTGAAGACCCTCGGCTCGCGACGTGGAGCCTGGCGGTCCAGGTGGTCAGCTGGGCGTGGCCCTTGGGCAGACGACAGACCCGGGATGGCGGATCGCAGACTGGGCTGAGCTGTCCCCACCAGGAGCTTTGTCTCCCAGTCTGACACAGCCCGTAGGGACTCGCTTCAGGTTTTGCGATAATCCGCAGCGCCGCAGGCACACCCCTTTCTTCTCGGAGCTGAAAGGCTAGGTCCAGTGGCAGATGCTGGCTGGGAGGCGGGATGGGGAACGTCTCCCGCCGGAGAGACCGGGAGAACAATAGCCGGCACTGGTATCCACCCGACCCCGAACTAGGCCCTCCCCCTCCCAGAACTCAAGTGTGCAGTTTTCTGGTGCAGAAATGCTCCCGTAGAAATCTCAGGGCATGCTCTCGTCTTTTGGGGTTTGTGTTGGGGCATCAAGCCCCGCTGTTAATTCCCTGGTGTGAGTCGCAGGACCCCCCAGACTGGAGGGCGGGCAGAAAGCCCCACCACCGGCTTTGGTGCTTGCTGGCCTCGGCGCCCGCCGCCTGCCCCCTTGCTGGTTGACCAGTAGCCCAGACGTGGCGTGGTGGCCTGCTATGATCTGGAGGTTGTCTCAGTGCAAAGCGAGCCCCCTGAGCAGTCGGCTTTGTCTGCGGAGACTGGCCACGTCTAAGGTCTGTGTGTTCATAGAGGGAGCAGTCAGGGTTGGTGCGGGGATTGTGTGCCAAAATCCAGAGAAGTGGTTTTGGAGATTACCTGCCAAGGGTGCGGCTCCTGGCTCTTAGAGCCTGCAGCCGGGGGACCAAAGCTTCCCATTGCCATTGACCACACCCAAGCCAGTGTGTCCATCCTTTGCAGATTTTGCCCATATTGTCTGCTGACCTAAGACGGGGATGGCTCTGTGATGGGAGGTGGCTGCTTGCCCATGGGAAAGAAGATGAACAGAAATGGAAGCACAAAACAGGGATTCAGCAGAGCTTTCCATGCACTTGTAGTCTTGCTGGCTGTGTATGCATCTTTCATGTCGGGCTGCAGCATCTTGACATGTGAAAGGACTGCCCAATCCTAAAATTCTGGTTTAGAGGTTTTCTTTGATCATTGTTTAGTTTATATTAAAGGTGACTCTTTAGCATAAGGTTTATATTTTTAAATTGCCATTCATTTAACAAAAAAGTGAGGAGGGAGGGCAAGGCAGAAGCATTTTTATTCCAAGAGCAAAGGAAGCGTGGATAAAAGACAGAGCATCACAGGACTAATCATTGTGACTTACATTTGCCATTAAGTTAACCAATGAGCCTTTGGCTCTCTCTAGCCTTGAAACCCAGGATTTTCTTTCTTAACCAGGTTGATGCATAAGATTGATGCATAAGACTGTGATGTCACTGTTGGCTCTTGCCCAGAACGTTCGATAGTTGCCAGCCTGAAGGCCTTCTATCTGGGCTATACCAAGTGGTCATAGGAAAGCAAGTAGACTATATCTTGCTGGTTTTCAAGGATGGTGTTTTGAGGCAGTGCCTCTCAGAATTTACAAAACTTGTCTGAGAGGATTAGCTGGAATGTTGTTCATTGGATGTTTTAAGCTAAGTTAATAGACTAGACCTATCTATTCTACAGTAGATGCAAACCAGGAATCTCAATATTAGAAAACATAAAATCTGACATGAAGGTTTTTTCTTATGAAAAAGCTCCAGTAGGAAATGTTTTTCTGTCATTACCCAAGGGGAAAAGTTTCAGGAGGGAATGTTTTGTTGGTTTATTCTTTTTGAAAGAATTTTATGGATTTGTTTATGGTTGTAATCCTGTCAAGCACTGTGTGAACATCCAACCCAATATTTTCCTCCTGGGGAGTCCATAGATGAGGAATGCCAGTATGACCAGCCCATTTCTACAGGGAAGATGGAGAGAAAGCAGCATCTCCCTCCTGCCTCCTATGAAAATGTCTGGGAGACAGAGCCCAGAAGGGAGAGGCAGGTGACCCCAGAATAATTCTGGAAGTGCCATTGTTAACTCCCATCTCCCTGACCTTGGGGACCTCAGCTAGGGATATATAAGATGTTCATAGGGGGCACTTGGTGGCTCAGTTGGTTGAGCGTCCGACTTCTGGTTTTGCTCAGGTCGTGATCTCCAGTCCGTCATGGGATCGAGCCCAGCATTGGGCTCCATGCTCAGCACGAGTCTGCTTGAGATTCATTTTTTTTTTTTTAAGATTTTTTATTTATTGAGAGAGAATGATAGAGAGAGAGCATGAGAGGGAGGAGAGTCAGAGGGAGAAGCAGACTCCCTGCCGAGCAGGGAGCCCGACGCGGGACTCGATCCCGGGACTCTAGGATCATGACCTGAGCCAAAGGCAGTCGCTTAACCAACTGAGCCACCCAGGTGCCCTGCTTGAGATTCTTTTCCCTACCCTCTTCCTCCCCCTCTGCTCCATCTCCCTGCTTGTGCGTGCATGCTCTCTCTCTCTTTAAAATAAATAAATAAAATCTTAAAAAAAAAAAAAGCTGCTCATAGGACATGAAGACCTGGCTGTTTTGAGCATAGCCTCTCCAAGATAGAGATATAAGCCAGGATAGTTTCAATATGCTGGATGCACTGGGCATTTCCACCAATGGGAACAGCAAGGCATGCAGCAAGGCTAGTGTACGTGATTGGCCACAGTTAAGTCTGGGGACTTGGTGTAGGCTTCATCTGTGCTACGTCCACCTCTCTCTGTTCTTCTACCATGGATATCTAGGAATTTTCCCTCCTTCATAACAGCTCCTCTGACCCAGGAGTCAGCATAATCCTACATTAGCTCCAGGGAACTATAGGCCAAAGGCTATCACAACTGGACACCTCTCTGGGGTAAATTAGGATTCAGATAATTATACAGAGCCAGAGAAGTCGGTATTATTAGAAAACAATATCTAAGACCCCAGGGTGTCTGGCTGGCTCGGTCAATAGAGCATGCGACTCTTGACCTTGGGGTGATGAGTTTTGGGTATAGAGATTACATTTAAAAAAAAAATCTAAGATTCTATCTTTCTGGTGTAAAAATTAACCAAATTCTGATAGAATCTGATCCTGTTCTTTTTTGTTTTCTGAACTATAAGAAAAGAATTTCAGAAAAGTCTTCTAAGACTTAGTTCACAGGATCGTATAGGAGAACAATAATACGGAAAATCTTTGTCAGTGTGAAAAACTACAGGAAGAAGTTGGCGTACTGTGAAATCAGATGAGAATAACAAGGTGTTTGATTTTATTGCACTGCTAGTGAATAAATGAGAAAAAATTTTGGGGTCTCTTTGCTTTAAGTTTTTTTTTAATTTATTTCAGAGAGAGCTTCAGCTTGAGTGGGGGGAGGGGCAGAGGGAGAGAATCTCAAGCAGACTCTGTGCTGAGCGCGGAGCCCCAGGTTGGGCGGATCTCACAACCCTGAATTCATGACCTGAGCCGAAACCAAGAGTTGGACACTCAACCGACTGAGCCACCCAGGCGCCCCTGCCTTAAATTTTTTATATACAGATTAAAGAAAGGTTCAAATACTGTGGTAGGAATCTTTAATGAAATTTGATATTTGTGTATAAAGCGGGCACATTATATACTTTAACAAGAGAAATTCATGAAGGAATATTGTTCATGATTTCTTTTATTTCAGTCTTTGAAACTCATTTAACTTAAAAGAAATAAATTTAACTGTAGAATCCCCCGAGCCCTCATGCCCTGCCATTTTTAAAAAAGATTGTATTTATTTATTTGAGAGAGAAAGAGTGTGTACATTCATAGGAGCCGGGAGGAGCGGGGGAGGGACAAGCAGACTCCCCACTGAGCATGGAGCCTCGAAGCCAGGCTCGATCCCAGGACTCAG